AAAAAAAAACATGTCAAGGAATCCCCTCTGGATTTTCTTTTCCTCTTTGCACACAGACTGCAGACTTTGGAAGGGAAATGGGCAGACCTAAACTTCAAGGTCAGAGCAAGACCAAGTTGCCACCCAGGCAATAGGATGGCTGGAATCCTTGGCCTAGTCTGATGTCCTTCCCCACCCCAAGGTTGCATGCACTGCTGTACTCAAGCAAGCTGTGGGGAAGGTGAAGCTGCTTCCCATGCTGGAAAATAGGGGTACAGGGAGCTGTCCCTGGACTTGTGGGTGAGCTAGAAAATGGGGAACAAGGAAGAGGAAAGGCATGGGGGAGTTGGGAAGGGGTATAGAAAAGCTCATCTGGCTTAGGTAGCTCCTGGGTCTTGGACCCTTCTTGCCTAAGGTAAGAGGCAGGAACTGAGCTGTGGGCTCTGAGGGAGAGCTCTCCTCTCTGGCCCAGCCAGCCAAGAAGGGCTGGATCCTGGGAATATGCAAATAAGCCAGCGGGTAGGTCCCAGTTGGGGATAGCACATCTGGAGCCTGGAGCAGTGTGGTTGGAAATAGACTAGAATAAAGATAGAGGAGTCTCTTGGGAGCAGGAAGCCAGTGCAGACTAAGGGGAGGGCCCCCCACCCCAAGCTGTTCCCTGGCCTGGTTGGGTTGGGGGTGGGGCAGCAAGGAGATAGTGGGCAGTAGGGCAGCCCTTTGGGCCTAGAAAGAAAAGGACAACTCTAGAGAGTAGAAGAGGAGGTAGACAAGCTGTTGGGGGGTCTTTCATGAAATCTGCATTGACAGGACAGACTGACATTCAGCCTGTTTCTTTTCTGTCTGAGCATTTCCATTCACTGGCTGCCCCAGCAGCTGACCAAGCATGACCAACTTTAGAGGATGGTCCCTGAATCTGGAGTGCTGGGTCAGCCGGGAATGGGCTGTGTGACTATGAGTATGTCACTCACCCATGTTCTGATCCTGTTTTCTTCCCTGTCAGAAGAAAGGACTTTGGCCTCAAACCCTAGGAATCCTCTTCTTTAATCTATCCCTTCACTGTCTCTCACTTATTCAGCTCCCAACCCCACCTGGTTAGGCCAGCTGGCTCCTCCCTGCACATTACTGCCCACCTGCCATTGCCATGTGGATCCCTCCCCAGGAATGCCCACCCCATGCCTTTTCACTGCCCACTTTGCTAGAATAGCACAGAACCTTAAGAGGGCAATTACTGTGCCTTTACGTAAACTATTGAATAGAAAGTACTTTTAATAATGTATCCAAAAAATGTGTGTCTAAATTCTATACAGGGTACAGAAAGGTGGAGTTTTTTCATGGGATATTATGCCCTGAAAGCAGAGGGGGAAAAAACCCACAAAATACATGCTATAATTAAACATATATATATATATATATATATATATATATATATATACACACACACACACACACACACACATATACACACACACACACACATATATATGTATGTGTGCATATGTGTGTGTGTATGTATGTTTATACCCAAAATTAAAGAATGAAGTAATTGCTCCAGAGGGGTAAGAATGGGATGGGTGATTGTTTCAAGTGTCTTTACTGTGACCGTGATTATCTTTTTCATACAAACACTGCTTTTGAAATTAAAGATTTACTTTCAGATCCCTCTGGCCCCACATCCTCCTTGAAACCTCCTTACCTGCAGCCCACAATTTTTTCCTCTTTGGATTCCTGAGGCACAGGTTTCCTTAGAAAACAGTAGGAGGCAATATAGCATCTAGCAATGGGCTCTGAGCCATTAGCCAGCCCTGTCAAGTCCTGATCATCTGGCCCTGGCTATATTATCTTGGATGGATTCCTGAAGCCCTCGGTGCCTCAGCTTTCTTTTTCTTTTTCTTTTTTTTGTTTGTTTTTTTGGGTCCGGTCATGGAGCCTGAACTCTGGGCCTGAGCACTGTCCCTCAGCCCTTCAGCTCAAGGCTAGTGCTCTACCACTTGAGCCACAGCGCCACTTCCGGCTTTTTTCTTTTTGCTTATGTGGTGCTGAGGAATCGAACCCAGGACCTCAGGCATACAAGGCAAGCGCTCTACCACTGAGCCACCTCCCCAGCCCCTGCCTCAGCTTTCTTGATCTACTACTGTGACAGAGTCCCTCCCCACTGGACCCCAAGATCACAGACAAAACATTCAGCACCATGCCTGGCTCTTTCTTCCTAAGTGCTGATGCTATTCTCACTGTCACTGGCATCTTACATCGCTCTCAAGACTTGACATTTTGTCTTTCAAATTTGAAAACAGACTACTCCAAGGTAGAGCATAAATTTCAGGGTACACACTGCAGATGCCCTCACCCCTGCTCTTTTCCATGCTTTCTACTCCAGAAGTGACAGTACTCCAGGCAAAGGAAGCCGGAGGCTCACCTTATGACAGAAAGCAGGATCTAGAGGTGAGCAGATCACCACAGCTCTTTGTCCTGGCCACCCAGCCATGCCAGGGTCCTTCCCCAGGTTGGGAGATTTCTTGATGAAGGCCACACAAGACCATGGCATGGAGGAGAGGTACTGTCAGCAGGGGTTGCTGGGCTTCAGTGTTCTCATCCTGAGGTGGGGAGATCTGGCTATGTTCCTTGTAGAGCTGGTGCAAGATCACCCAAGACATTTGGCAACAGAGCTTCCAAAAGCCTAAGTGCTGGATACACACGTGTGGATCAGTGTTGCTATTTATTGGTCACTAAATGCTGTCCTACCCCTTCTCCTCCTCCATGTTTCCCTTCTCCCCCTCCCTGCCATGGCCACATCTGGCAAACCCAGAAAGGGGGACTCCTTCCAGGAGCAAATGCCTGGATCTCAGGTAATGGGGCCCTGGCTGTTCTCTGGCTGGACTGAGTGGGAGCAGACTTAGAGAGAAAGGAGACAACATAGCAGGCCTTTGCCTCACCCTTCCTTCAGGCCACTCAAGTATCCTTAAGCGTTGAATCCTAGCCCTACCACAAGCTCTTATCTTCAGGATCTGCTGAAGTGAACAAGGCCATGCTCCTGGGCTGGGGCCAGTTCCCTTCATCGACCACAAGGCAGAGTAGAAAGTGGGGATGAACTATAGGAAAGACCATCCTGTGGCTTTGTGGGGCATGGCCATGTGGGAATGTCTTGGTACAGACTGTCTACTCAGCCTGGCCATACTCAGTGGCTCTGAGGATAGTAACAGGGCAAAGCTTTATGAGCCACCACATGCCCCTGGAGGGACACCTCCCTCCGGATCCACAGGAGACTGAGTGGTGGGGGACTTCAAAGGCCTCTGGGGGCCTCAGGCTCTGAACTGCTGGCTTATTGGCTCAGGTCAGCTGGCAGCAGGAAGGTTTGTGTTTCTTTTAATATCAACTCCCAGGCATTTAACATTCCTTGAAGCTTAAACACAGAAACATTTTCCTTAGCAGCCTGTGCTTTCTGCTCTGCCAAACATAACCTGGCTGTCTCCCCTCCCCCTCTGCCTCCATCTGCTCCTGTCTCCAAGATGTGATGATTTATAGCGTGCTTCCCCAGGGCCTGTGCAGCTGAGTGAAGGGAGGGGAGTGAAACCTGAAGTCCAGGTAGGAGAATGACACTTTCTGCTCCTGGAATTTGAGTTCTAAAGGGATTGCAGGACCAAGTGCCCACCTAGCTGGCTGTCCTCATTCACCTTTCTGTTCCATCAATGGCCCAGGGAGTACAGCAGCTGCTCAGGTCTCTTGGGGCTGGACAGGTGTCTCTAGCTTAGAATGTCTTCTCTGCTTGCTCCCCTGCCCTAGCCTCCTGGGATGTGTAGATGGGGCTCCTACTGCATATCCCTGTACAGAGCAGGTTCTGGGGACTGGATTTTGAGCATTCTCGCATAATCATCCCCATTTCCTAAGTAATGAAGGGCTGCTATATGGTTGCCTAGCAGCACTATCTCCCTGGTGACAGCGCTGAGAAGCAGGGTGCAGGTCCCACAGCCTCAGGAAGGGATGCGTTCAGCAACATGAATGACATAAAGCAGGTAGATAGGCCTCAACCAAATGGGACAAGTGAGGGAAAGCAGGAGACATCCCCTCCCAGATCTCAATTCCATCAAAGACACACAATCAAGAGCCAAATACCAAACTCAAGCCTCAGTATGCACCATACAAAAAACAACCCCTACAAACACACACACACACACACACACACACATTATTCCGGTTCTGTCCCATCATTCTACTTCCGTCCCATCGGCAGCAATGGTCAAGAAGCCTGGAGGGCCCAATGTTCATGGCTCAGGCCTGGCATAGCCCATCATTGTTCCCTTTGATTTTATGGTCACAGACTCTACTAACTTTTGTCTTAAGCATGGGGCCAGATGAGAGTGTGGATGGCTCCATGCTGAATGGACTTGACTCCAAGCCTGGTTCTCTTGATAGTTAAGTATATGGCAACCATCTCCAAAACTGGAAAAATGTCTCCAGCATGCAAGCCAGCAAGCAAGGCTTGTTTCATTCCATATATTACAGAGCACCAAGAAACAGCTGAGCCCTATGTGCACTTACTCTAGTTGAGGAGCTAACTTAAGACAATGATTTCCAACACAGGGGAGGACAGTCCAGCAACCCAACCAGATCTCAAGCCCTTGTGGAAGAGCAAATGTTGGGGACATGTGTCTCTTTCCTATCCCATGTCCATGGCAACACTACTCCGCAAACATGGTATTCTCTTCAGCTCATGATGCAGCCTCAGAATCCTTCTCAACACAGTGTTGTAAGGAAAAACCACTGGGGCCTAAAAGCCAAAGAAAGCCAAAGAGGGAGCCATGCGTCAAGTACATCCTACAGCAGCATAGATGATCCACCTGAGCCAGCTGTGGCGGCCTGAGGAACCAGGCCCCTGCGGGCTGCTGAGGGGAAGGTAAGAAGCCATTGCCAGCACAACCACAACCTTGGCGAACTTTTCTCAAACCAGCTTGGACCCAAACTCAAAAAGGCAAGTGCCTTGATCAAGAGGACACCTGAGAAGGGCCTTCTGTGCCTTGAATCCTCACCTGGATCTGCCCTTTGCCCATGATCTTATCCACGATCTCATTGTTGTCCTTATTGACCTTGGTCTTGTCATAGCACTTCTCATAGCACAGGATCCTCAGGGACTGAGAGCCCTCCAGTTCAATCTCAAACTCCTGGGGAGAGATGGGACAAAGGGTCATGAGCCGCTGAAGCCAGGGCATGTGGTTTCCTGACAGATGTAGGCCTCAGCTATGCAAGAGTGGGGTGAACAGAGACTGCATGGCAAGACATGGGAAGGGTCTTTATTTTCTGGAGCTCTTACAGGCCTCCATATGAGTGATGAAGTCAAGTTTGGGAGCCTGAGTTGAAATCCTAGTGTCTGATGCCCACTGACACACACACAATGGCCGGTGCTAGATAAATAGGGAGGGGAAGGAGCAGGGTTACAGAGACAAGGTTGAGGCAAATTACTGGCTTGGCCATCCCTAGTAGATAAGGTTATGGGACAGGTATGATAGGTGAATCAGAGGTCCTTGCGGGGAACACCAGCTCCCTTCACTCACCTCATCCCATTTGGGCTCTGTTGTGTCCCGAAATACCCTGGTTTTGGCTTTGCTGACAAAATAGCCAAAGGAATCCACCTCCAGGGTACAGTATAGATCTGCAGGGGAAGGACAGACAGACATACCAAGTAAGGCCTGAGAAGCCCAGGCATGAAGTCAGGGCAGGGGTAGTGATGGTGATGGCCTTGGGAAGGGGGAGAGTGCATCTAGCTTCCCAACATCCCCTTTAGAAATGATCTGAAGGGACGGGCTGGGCTGTGGTACAAGGAGGCATAGATTTCTACTGTACCCCCATGTAACCCGGGCAGGTTGTTGGGAATCCTCTAAGCCTCAGCTTCCCTGTGTGTTGAGTGGAGAGGATAGCAGTGCCATAGAGGAGTGCTGGGGCATCAGGGCAGATAATGATCCTCCAAAGGCTTTGAACACACCAAGCCACTGTCAAAACACTGCCATGTTCTCATTTTCTCCATGTATGCTGGAGGTGCTCTGTGTTTTCACAGCATCGTTCAGTTTTTCTAGACTTAGTCATCCAAGGGATAAAGAAGGCCTGGTTCCTGCCTTCAAAGAATTCACAGTAGGAGAGGCAAATTATAAATGACAAAACAGTACGACAGGTACTGTTCCCCACTGGTGGGGAAACTGGGGGGTGACCAATTCACCTCAGGAGGACAGGAGGCTCCCCAGATGGTGCAGGTGGCCAACAATAACACCCAGGGAGGTGCCTGTAGAGAACTGCAAGGGCAGACCTTGCCTGCTGGAGAGCAAGAGAAGGCAGTGGGAAAGGGAGGCGGACAAGAGTTCTTGATCTGATTTGATTTTGAAGTCCTATCACCTCTGTGACTCAGTTTCTTCACCTGGCAAATGGGTTAGACAGACTCAGACTTTCATGTGGTTTAAAAAGTAGATATAGTATAATTGGAGTTGGAAGTACAGCTCAGTAGTAGTGGGCTAGCCTAGCCTAGGCAAGAAAGTCCCATAAACAGATTTTTGTGAAATGTTAGAAACCTGTGTTACTAATCTACACATTTAGGAGATGATGACAGAGCAGGGGAGGAAAGGAGGGTGTGGTGGTGTAGGACATCCGTGGTCACATTCAAGCCCACTCTCAGGGTGGTACAGACAGGTATGATGGCCTTTCATAGAGAAGGAAGCTGAGGCTCAGAGATTAAGATGCTTGCCCAAGGTTAGACAATGGGTACCTGGCAGATACAGAGTTCGAGGAGTCAGAAGCTCCAGAGCTTCAGATTCCTGGAAGGAGGGCTCAGAGGAGAGTAGACGGAGAAAAAAGGCAGGGTAAGGTTGTTCACCTGGTTCAAAGAAAGGGGGAGGGGAACGCCCCACATCTTTAGGTACCGGCCTGTGCAGATTGGAGCAGGTCTATAGGGGCTTTAAGTCAGAGATGAGCAAAGGCACCCAACTTCTACAACTCAGAAAGGCACTTACTGGCTGACTGTTTAAACCCCTTGGCAGAGTGGACGATGACATGAAGGAAGCCATATAGTCCAGGAGACTCATCATCTGCAAGAGAAAAAAGCCCCAGGTAGGGTGGTGGATGAGAAGCTTATCTTCTCTTCTACCCCAAGCTTCTGGGGAGGAAGAGAAGAGTGAGACTGTCCGAGCCTTGGTCCCACAGCACCACCTGGTGGCAGGCTGAAAAAAATTTCCAAAGCCCACTGTGCCTCTTCCAACTTGAGCTGTGGTCAGCCTGAAAGGCCAGCCTACATATATCCCTACAGTCCTGGGTCCAATATTTGGTACCAATTCTCAGCATACTTTCTTGCCCTCTGAATCCTGCCTACCATAGCTTCCCTCCTCTAAGTTCTCAAAATGGAAATAAACTAATCAATCCCTTGGTGCTAAACGAGGAGAGCAGGCTCAGCTTGGCTCTGCTTGGGACGTGACAGGCCCTAGAAAAGCTAGATAGGAAGGCATCAAAAATCCCTTTCACAGAATAGCACACTTCTGGACAACATAGCTAATAATTTTCACCTGCTCTGGGCTACTTTCCAGCCTGATTATAGATCTCTCTATTCAAAAGCTTTGCGGAGGCTCCTGGAGTTAATGAATGACTTCCAAACTCACTTGGTTGCCATTGAAGGCCTTCCAAGATCTGGTTCCTCCAAACTTCTGGGCCGGTTTTTCATACATGACCCCTTATCCACCACCATCTTCCTGTTCTCCTGCCCACACTTTAGACTCTGTTGCCACTGTCAGACTTCTCACAAACCAGAAACCATCCCCACACTCTGGGTCAAGATGTATACTCTTCTCTCAAGCCAGAGTGAGGCAAGAAGGACCTGGGGGCCAACTGGGAACTCTGTGTACACGGTAACAGAACAGTCTCAGCCTGAGCACAGTTAAGCCATGTAGCTTTAAGTCCTGCTGAGTCCTTACTGACACCCTCAGCAGTACCCTGGGGCTTGAATGTGCTAGCTGGGCAACCCTGGGTTCTAGGTCTTACCATCTTTATTGCTGGTGACAGGAATGTTGTGTACAGTCCTAAGCTTGAAACAGGATCCCGTGAGCACCTGGAGTTCCACTGAGCTCAGGACAAAGGCCTGGAGATCTGTAGGAGGAGCCAAAAGAGAAGGGGAGGGGCATCAGGCCCAACCCGGGAGGGTAGGGGGGATACCTGCTACTCTTCCTTGGAGGAATACTGCCAGGAAACAGATTTGGATGTGGAAGTAAAGACATCTGAATAGGTGCAGTTGTGGTGTTGGCAGAGGGACAACAGTAGGAAGGAGAGCCAAGAGAAGAGGCTCAGTGTGTAAAAGGATGAAAGCAAGATTAAGTGAGGATAACCTCTCTGTCCTCTGCTCTGGGTCTACTATCACTAATCATCAAATGCCTTAAGCAAATCACTTCAACTCTTTGATTGTTCAGTAAACAAAATCTAAGGGCCACCTTCCCTGGCATCTTACAGTGGCTGTGAGGACTGAAGAAAGGAGAAGATACCAGATGTAAGAAGGGTTGGACATGCATAGGACTGTCCTGCCATAGACATCCTCAGGGTAGCACGTAGCACAGCAGGGTAGGGTAGGGCAGGGCAGGGCAGAGCAGGACCTTACTTACCCTTCTTCTGTAGTTTCTGAATTGCTTCTCTCCACTCTGACCTCTCATAGTCTGAGGAGAGTAGGAACAGGTAGCTCTGAAGAGAGGAGATGAGAATTCAGTTAGCTCAAATTGATTTCCAAATTCTGGAGTTCCCAACAAGGTGCCATCTTACCCAAGTCTTCCCCTGCCCCTTCCCCCTCCCTCCCAAGCTTGGAGAAGACCTTTCTGGGAAGCCAGATAGGCATGCCAGTGCCAGTGATGACCAGCAGAGGGCACTGGTTCCCCATCAGCAGGGAGAGGGAGTCCAGGGCTGGAACTATGGCAGCTTTCGTGAGAAGTGAGGGTCTGGGGCTATAGGTAGTAGGAAGCCTTAGAATAAAGAAGGGGATATCCTTTCTGACCTTTCCATTTCGATTATGGATCCGAAATGGGATTGTGGGGGAATTGAGCAGCAGCAAGAACTCATTCTCAAACATCTTCTTTTTGAGGCGCTCGATGGCCCGGCTCTGCCCTTTGTTGGCTTTCTGCAGGGGATGAGGCACAGATGGTTTCTCTCACACTCAGACACCACATCTCACCCAGCAGCTAAGCACAACATCTCCCTGTGTGTTAATTATGGTTTTGTATTTTCTTTTTTTTTGGGGGGGGGGTCCGGTTGTGGGGGTCTGAACTCTGGGCCTGGGCGCTGTCCCTCAGCTCTTCAGCTCAAGGCTAGCACTCTACCACTTGAGCCACAGCGCCACTTCCGGCTTTTTTTTCTTTTTCCATATGTGGTGCTGAGGAATCAAACCCAGGGCCTCATGCATGCAAGGCAAGCGCTCTACCACTGAGCCACCTTCCCAGCCACTGGTTTTGTATTTTCTATATGTTTTCACATATGGGATAGCTAGCAAGGTAAGGAGAACCAGGCCTTCCCTGGAAGGTCAATGCTTAACCAGCTCTCCTGTGTGTACTTTCCTGAGTTGAGCCTATGAATCCAAGGACCAATCCCAAACTACCCCAGCATCTAACTCACACACCAAGCCAGAACTTCCTCTGCTTCGAACCACCAGGGGTAGGGACCAGACAACTGAATTATCTCCAAATCCAGAGGCCCTCAATATTATCTGAACTGGCCAATCTAAAGCTGTTCTCCTTTCCATACTTCTCTAGAAACCTCAATAATGCTGTGCCCCAAGTGTTCCTCTTGTTCCTTTTGTCCCGTGATCGGCTCTGGGAAGTCCCCTTTTCTAGGTAACTAGAGGCAATGAAAATCTTTCAGTGGTAATAGATCTCTACATAGTTCTTTAGTCACCTGCATAGATTAAGTCCTAGGTACAACAGATACATGTTAAAAATACAACAGATATGCACTTCAAAAATCTTCAGATGGGCTGGGAAGGTGGCTCAAGTGGTAGAATGCTAGCCTTGAACAAAAGACGCTCAGGGACAGTGCCCAGACCCTGAATTCTAGCCCCAGGACTGGCCAAAATACCAGCAAACAAAGAAAACAAACAAACAACAATACAAAAACCCCAGTGCTAAAAGCAGCTGGGGGTGTGGCTTGGTGATAGAGTACCTGCCTGGCAGGCAAGAGGCACTGAGTTCAAACCTCAGTACTGCTCCTCCAACTCAAATATATTTATAATATATATTTATATGTATGTGTGCACCCTCCCATACATACCATATAAGCATACAAAAGTCTAAAATAGACCTCACACTGTTAGTGGGAGGTAAGTTTTATCTTGTTAACTTCAGTATTGTGAGCGTTTTTTTTAATTATCAAAAGCCAGTATTATATCAATAACTAGAAAAAATACATTTATTATTAAAAGAATCAATCTTGGGGCTGGCAAGGTGGCTCAGTGGTAGAGTGCTTGCCTCCCATGCATGAGGCCCTGGGTTCGATTCCTCAGCACCACATAAGCAGAGCAAGCTGGAAGTGGCACTGTGGTTTAAGTGGTAGAGTACTAGCTGTGAGCTGAAGAGCTGAGGGACAGCACCCAGGCCCAGAGTTCATGCCCATGACCACCACCACCACCACCAACAACAACAACAAAAAAGAATCAATCTCAGCCGGGTGTGTTGATTCACAGCTGTAGTCTCAGTACTCAGGAGGATAATGAGTTTGAGAGCCAGCCTGAGCTACATACTGAGACATGTTCTGCTCCTTCAGTGACTCAGGAAACAAGACCTCTGCCTATACAGTGACTCTTGTCACATGACTCGTGTCCCATAGCAGTATCACAACTGTCTGCCTTCTGTCCTAGAAAAGAGCTCTGTGATGTGTTTGGTTCATCCCTACAACCCCTGTGTATGTGTGTGTGTGTGCGGGGGTTGCATGTAGGACATCTATAGAGTGGAGACAGTAGCAGTGAAACACAACTAAAGCAGGCTCCTCCCAACCTTTCAGGAGGAGAACACCTATGCTGGTCAGGGAGCTTCCTCTGGGCTAGTAGGCCTCTAGCTAAACTATAGTCCTAGAACATCCACCTCTCCCAAATAACCAATCTTTTCCTTCCTCAGAGGCCGTCCAGCCATGTGTGCACTATGTTATTACATGCTAAGTACTGTGCACAGGACTGGAAAAGAGAGAGACATTCATTGGGGCTCCAGTAACAGTAAGGAAGAGAAAAAGTAGACCAAGCTGGGCACTGGTGGCTCATGCCTATAATCCTATCTACTCAGGAGGCTGAGATCTGAGGATCTTGGTTCAAAGGCAGCCTGGGCAGGAAAGACTCTTGTCTCCAATTAACCACCAGAAAACTGAAAGTGGCTCTATGGCTCAAGAGGTAGAGTACCTGCCTTAAGCTGAAGAACTCAGGGACAGCGCCCAGGCCCAGAATTCAAGCCTCACAACCAGCAAAAACAACAATAACAACAACAACAAAACAGCAGACCAAGCAACTATAATCAGTACATGAAAGCCAAGCCAAGGTGAACTCCAGGAATAGGGAGTAGGGATTGTGGAGAAGGCTTCCCAAAAAAGAAGAGGTCTAAACCAAGTTTAGACAGGCAACAAAGAGACCAAACCAACCAAGGCATCACCCATTTGCATGTTGTATTTAGTAGTTCACAATTTCTTTTTTTCAATTTTTTTAAAATTATATTTTATTTTATTTTTTTGTGAACATGCTGTACAAAGGGGTTACAATTACATGGGCAGGATAATGCGTACATTTCTTATCAAGCATTGCAGCCTCCTCCTTTGTTTACCCTTCACATCCCTTCCCAGCCTCCCCCCCCTCTTTTTTTCAATTTCTTAAAAAAAAAATTTTGTTTATGTGTTACTGAAGAATCAAACCCAGGGCCTCATGCATGCTAGACAAGTACTCTTTCACTAAGCCAAATTCCTAGACACAATTTCTTTAACATCAAAGTTTTAACTTTCTCATCATGTAATTAATACTTTAGTTTTGTTGTTGTTGTTTGGTGCTGGTCTTGGGGTTTGAACTCAGGGCCTGGGCACTGTTCCTGAGCTTCTTTTGCTCAAGGCTAGCACTCTATCACTGGAGCCACAGATCTACTTCTGGCTTTTTTAGTGGTTAATTGGAGATAAGAGTCTCATGGACTTTCTTGTATAGGCTGGCTTTGAGCCTAGATCCTTAGCTAGAAGCCTCCTGAATAGCTAGGATTACAGGTGTGAGCCACTGGCGCCTGGCTTATATGTGCTTTAGTTCTGAAGGATGTCTGTAAACATAACTTGTCTGCTACCAATTATTATTACTTTTTAAAAAAATTGAGATTGTTTTTGTGAATTATTATAAGGATGAATATTTGTGAATGTTCTCATGTGTGTCAGAATTAAGAGTCTCAGTTCTGTCAAAGCAAGAGCTTTACAAGTATTTGTAGGTCAGGCATGTTAATTGAGAGAAACTCAAGTTCCCTCTCTTCCTATGTGCTTGCTTGATCTGCCAGTTTCTAATTTTGTTTTTAGTTTCTCTCTCTCTCTCTCTCCTTCCCCCTCCCACACACACACCTCTTCAACTCAGGGCCTGGGTATAGTCCCTGAGCTCTTTTTGCTCATGGCTAGTGCTCCACCACTGGTGGTTAATCTCACAGACTTTGCTGCTTAGGCTGTCTCTGAACCACAATCCTCAGATCTCAGCCTCCTGAGTAGCTAGAATTACAGGCAGGAGGCATCAGCTCCTGGCTTAGTTTTTTCTTGCATATGTCCTATGCCTGTTATTCTTCCCTTGCTTCTTTTTCTATAGTGGTCAACACCCACTGTTCTCCAGGAAATTACCAAAATTAAGCCCACGAAATACTGAGCACTGGCTCCTTGTCTCTCCATCTCTCAGAGCCTCAGAGCTGCTCCACCTTAGTAAGGGGCTTTTCCAGCAACTATACATGCTTTCATCCTGCCTCCCCCATACACACTCATACCTTACAAACCAACCCGCTGGACACACAGCTCAAAGAGTCCCAGTCAAAACAGTGTCACGCTCAGGTGCCAGGCTTTGCTCACCTCCTTCTGGATTTCACTCTTGAGAGCAGAGATCTTCATTTTCATGTCCTCCAATTCATGGTCTGGGAAGAGGTGCACCTGAGGGCTAGGCTCAGACTCCTCAGGGGACGGAAACACTAAGTCGGCCAGGGGGATGTACCACTTGCAGTCATATTGCTGGTGCTTTCTGCAAACAAGCCAAGCAAGGGAGGCATGAGCCAAGAGGAAGGAGGCTCTCCAACCCAGAACTGCTGGGCCCCGAACCAAAAATAACCTGAAAGAGATTTACTGAGAACTCATCAGAGGCACAAATGATCCCTGCCTTCGAGGAAACACACACATAGAGTAAGAAGAGTTGGTTACTGAGTCAGCCAGCAGCGAGGGCTCTGTTCTTCACTTTACCAATTTTCTGATCCAATAGGACCTTGTTTTTAAATATCCTAAATCACTTGCGTATCAAAAAAAGTGACTCTTGGGCTGGGAAGGTGGCTCAGTGGTAGAGCGCTTGCCTTGCATGCCTGAGGCCCTGGGTTCGATTCCTCAGCACCACATAAGCAAAACGAAAAAGCCGGAAGTGGCGCTGTGGCTCAAGTGGTAGAGCGCTAGCCTTGAGCTGAAGAGCTGAGGGACAGCGCCCAGGCCCAGAGTTCAGGCCCCACGACTGGACCCAAAAAAAAAAAAAAAAGTGACTCTTTCTTGTTTGAGCTCATACTTTTCCTATTCCCCATCCCATATTCTTTTCTCTCCTCTAGCCTATCCAAACTGAGGCTTACATTCATTATTCTTTAGGGTGAATATTGGCTACAGATGTTATTCTAAATATTAAATCTGATCAGTAGAGGCTATAGGGCACAGGATTGAGGATTATAAAACTACATCAAAGTCTAGTGAGAAAGAGTGTCATGGTTGATTAGCAATGTCTGCCAGGGGCAAAGAACTGAAGGCAGAGGTTTGTGTGCTTATCATTGCCACCTCTGCTTTGGAACTATCTTGAATGAATCTGGTTCCACAGGGTAAAGTCCTTTATTGAAGCTCCTAATGATCTCCTCTTCTCCAAGTACCTCTAGGACTTAGACTTCTACCCTTGTTCTGGTTCCTTAGTGTCACAGTGAACCCATGGTCTGTCTCCCCTTGTATTATAAGGCACTGTACAAGACACACGGAGGAGGTAATCCATCAATGTAAGTAGGAAAATAAGTAAAACGCTGTACAGTCTTTTCTGCTTGTGGCACCGGGCAGACCCCCAATACTCTGATGGAAGTAGATGAGGATTTTAATTCTCATCTTCTTCACGTGGAGCTGTATGACCCAGGGCAACTTATTTACCTTCTCCAAAACTTTGATCTGGGAGAGAGGGGTAATAACGACTACGTAGAGCTCTTGGAAGGGGCAGAAGTAAAGACCCAAGAGTTTGTCCTGGCATCTGGCATGACATAAGACCTCAATAAATGATGGCAGATTTCATGAATATTCACTGAATTATAGTTGGAAGAAATTTTGAGATATCTACTAAGAGGAGAATGCTTAAGTAAATTATGCTATATCTACTGGTAGCATTGTACAGGAAAGTAAAATGATGATTTAAGATTAGGCTGCAACAGGGAAAATGCTTATGATCTAAAATAGAAAAAGCAGAGCCCCAAACTGAGCATTCACTCTGATTACAACCACATGAAAAAACAACAGGAGTATTAAAAACCTAGGAAGGAAATATAGCTGTTAACTGTTGGTGTGGATGTTGGGTTTTTCTGCAATATCCTTATATTTTCTTTTTTTTAACCTTATATTTTCTTTATAATTAAAAACATGATCCATTTTTAGGGAAAAAAGGTTATATAGTAAAATAAAATTAATGAATACATTATTAAAAAAAAAAGCCCAAATACAGATTGCTCCAGGTGGCTGCGGGCTCCATCCACCAGGGGCAGATCATGGTTTCTGCAGTTCAGTCCTCATCTTGCCCACCCCAGGAGCACACTCACCCTGCGGAGGTCTTCTTCAGCTTGGCACACAGGAGGACATCTGTGAAAAGGAAGACATGCCGCAGCTTCCGAGAGCTTTCTGACATTTCCACCAGGAAGCCATCCTTCACCAGCTGTCGTGTCTGAGAAAGACGACAAAGCCCCCAGCTTATTCAGAGAGGAGTGCAGCAGAGGGCCTGCCCTGCCCTGGTGATACCACCCAGCTGAGCAGGACTGAAGGGGCAGGCTGTGTTGACTGCTTGTTAAAAGCACTGGTTTTGGAGCTGTGGGTCTGAATTGAGCCTCTGCCATTGTCAACTATGATCCCAGGCAACCTCCCTGAACAATCTGATTTATCATCCATACAATGCATGCTATACAGATGTTATTTGCCTTGTGAGGAGAGATTAATCAAGATGGTGTATGTATAACAGGCCAGTCCCTAACATATGTTACCAATAAATAGTAGCTTGACGGGTACTGGTGGCTCACACCTGTAATCCTAGGAAGCTGAGATCTGAGGATCAATCTCAGCTCTTTTTTTTTTTTTTGTCTGTCGTGGGGCCTGAACTCTGGGCTTGGGTACTGTCCTTGGTCTCTTCAGCTCAAGGCAAGTGCTCTACTGCTTGAGCCACAGCACCACTTGCAGTTTTCTACTGGTTTATTGGAGATAAAAGTCTCACGGACTTTCCTGCCCAGGCTGGCTTTGAATTGCAATCCTCAGATCTCAGCCCCCTTAGTAGCTAGGATTACAGGCGTGAGCCACTGGTGCTGGGCTTCAATCTCAGCTTTGAAGCCAGCTTGGGCAGGAAAATCCATGAGACTCTTATCCAATAAACTACCTCCAAAAAGCCAGAATTGGAGCTGTGGTTTCAGTGGTAGAGGGCTAGCCTTGAGCAAAAGAAATTCAGGGATAAGGCCAAGTTCAGGTTCTAGGACTGACACCAAAAAAGGAAGGAAGAGAAAGAAAGAAAAAGCAAGCAAGCAAGCAAGCAAGCAAGCAAGCAAGCTCTCTCCTAAATGGACCCAGGTCTGGAATGAGTTGGTTTTTTTCTGTCTTGGCGTGAACATCTTCAACCTAAGAAGTTAATCTAGAGCTGGACATGTGGCTCAACTGGTAAAACATCTGCCTAGCATGCAGGGAAGCCCTGGGTTCAATCTCCAGTACCAAAATTAAAAAGGAAAGATTAGCTAAATCTTGACCTACAGATCCACTCAGGCATGCTTATCCCAGCTCTCGGTGGATTCTTCCACTATCCTCAGCAGAGGAGGGACCCTGGGACTCCACCACTGGGGTAGTAGCAGTCCCTGACAGTGAGGAGCACTTCACTTGGGGAGTCTCCTCCCTGACTCCCTCAGGGCCAGCATGCTTCTCTGGAGCTGCCACTATCTGGCCGGCCTTCCCTGTCTGCACCATAAACTGTGTGACCTACATATGCTACGTTTTGTGGGTGATAATGTGGAAAGGATACGTTGAAGACAATATGAAACTGATGGTATTTGAAGCTTTCTGGAGACTTTTCAGATATCCCTAGAGTAAACAAACTACTGGCACTTGGGGTGTCGCAAACCAGGGCTAGGAACGGCACACAGACATCTCCATGCACCATTAGTCATGCTCCAGACACTGTCCCTCATTATTTCCCTTCCCAGGAGACACTGGAGGCTCATAAATGTAACAAAGGAACATAAACACAGCCAGCCTTCATTCCTAAATACCACTTAATTACCTTTATTGGATAGAAAGCATGGTATCTGGGCCAGGCTGCTGGCCCACACAGGTCACTGTTCCCCAATTTCTTCATATTGCTTTCCCTCACTGTGCTACCCCCACCTTCCACCAAGAAGAGCCCCTAAGGGTAGTTGTTGTACCACTTCTAAGTGTTTTCAGGGGACATTTCCGAGCCTGGGTGGTCTCTGCCATTCCTGGTATGGTGTCTGTGCAGTGTTCTGCAGGGTCCTGGGCTTACCTCCCCCTTGGGGGTTGTGACTGCAGTCCGACGGGGGTCAATATCCTCATTGATGCTGGACAGGAAGTTCTGGGAGATGCGGAGGGCATCTTGCAGCAGTGGGTAGTCTGGGTGGTCCACAGGTGTGTGCTTCAGCAGGTCCTGGGAAAAGATGGGGGTGGCGCGTTGTAGGGGCAAGTGGTTCTGGGTGGACATTTACTCAGTTCTCATCAGAAGAATTCTGAGTGGGGCACTCAGGAACCCATGCTCTAATTTGATCCTGCCTGTAAAATCTAAACTAAAAATGAAGAGTCAGAACAGTTGGGGTGAAAGTAGAACTTTCCCTTTATTCTTGTTGCAATCATGATTTTTTCCCCCTGTGGTGGGGATGGCCAGGTGAAGTCTCATCTTAACAAACAGCTGGGAGAGATGCCCTCTACCATCCTGCACCTGCTTGCAAGACATTGGAGACTATGATGGGGAAGTAGGAAGTGCCTGCCTCTTAGGAAGCATTTGGCCAAATATCAAGCTTAGTAGCCAAGCTATTTTTAGGCCCTGGCCAGGTTGCCATGGTTACTGCAGGCCAGACAGGTGCAGTTAGGGCCCAAGGACCCTCTCTCTGCCCAGCTCCCCAAATGAAGTCTCAGTGACTCCTACGCCCTTCCACCAAACTCCTAACCCTTTCTTGGCTGTTCAGGGGGCTTGACACTCACATGTAGGACCAGCGTGCTCCGAGTGACTCGGTCAATTGGCTTGTAGAGTAGAGCTGTTGGGAGGGCAGGGAGAGGAGATAGGATGAGGAAGTATAGGAATCACTCAAGACCTTGGCGACCAGCTTCATCTCCCACCCACTTCACTTCCCCATGTGAATACCACTTGCAGGAAGCCAAAGTAGATTCTGTGGCAACCTGTACTTGACTCTTACTCCTAGGCAGGCCAAGCAACAGAAAGACAGATGCACAGTAGCAAGAGCCACCTATCTCAACTCCCATCTTATATAACTTCTTTGAGGGCCATCTCTCCTGCCCATCCTGGCCTTGGCCTGGCTCAGAGCAGATGTTCCCATGTACATATGCCCCAATCACACTAATCCATGCCTCATAGTGGTCCAACTTGCTCTGGGTGGGGCACTCCCAGGGCTCTAGGATAGCAGAGGGTGACAAGGGGATTTTTCCAGGAGTGGCATCTTTTGGTGCTCATAATTCTCATGCTCCTCCAGTCCAAGGTGGGACCATCTGGGAACACTGACTACAATCTGATCCATATACTTGGTCCCATCTCATGAACAAAGACCTTTCTTTTTTCTTTTCTTTTTTTTTGTTAGTTGTGGGGCTTGAACTCAGGGTCTGGGTGCTGTTTCTCAGCTCTTTTGCTCAAGGCTAGCACTCTACCACTTTGAGCCATAGCTCCACTTCTGTGGGGTTTTTTTTTTTTTTTTTGAGTGGTTAATTGGAGATAAGAGTCTCATGGGGAACTTTTATGCCTGGGCTGACTTCAAACCACTATCCTCAGATCTCAGCCTCCTGAGGAATTAGGATTACAGGTGTGAGGCACTGGCACCCAGTTGAACAAAGACTTCTATGTGAACTTGAGCCTCAAACAGAATAGCAAAGGCAGAGGCAGGCCAGATCTCTATGAAAACTCTCAAGCTGGTAGCAGTCTGTGGAACAAAGATTTCCTAAAGGAATTCAGGTGGGGCCAGGCTGAGGGGAGCCGCAGCAGGCTGGGATAATGCAAGCTCAGCTTAGTCCCTCTGTTCCATGCCCCTCTGTGACCCAGACACCAAATGAGGATTGCCAGGATTCAGCAAGAACAGGTGGAGGTGGCAGCTGGCAGCCTAATACTTCCAAATATCTTTCCAGCAGACAGCTGTGCCCTGCCCCTCCCAACATGGTGCTTCAGCATTGGTCCTGCACCTGGATGCACCAGTCCATGGGGTCATAAGCTTTGGCTTCCTGCCACAGCAGCAACATGAGACAGGATGCTGGTCTGGGAAGGATGACCCTCACTGGGTGCTCAGTGATATGACATTGTAATAGATTCCCAAGATGACATTCATGCTCCAGCCAGACCCTAACCAGAGTCCCCTGAAGCCCTAGATATAAATACCTTGGGAATTGCTAGGCAGACACTTCAGGGAACAATCTGCCAGCTAAGAAGATGCGGTCTCAGCGGTGTGCCAAGAGCCTTATCTGCAGTCTTTGCTTGGCTGCCCATTAGAACCACTGGGGGAGCTCTTAAAAGTAACAGATGCCTGTCCTCACCCCATCCACTAAACCCAAATCTCTGCAGGGCAAAACAGGGCAGCAGCATTTTTAAAAAACTGCTTTGCTGATACCGATGTGTAATAATGGCTGATAATGGCTGCTTTAGGCAAATACACTTCCTATGACTTATCTATAGCCATTTCTTATCTAGCAATTTCTAGAGACCCTGCTTATAGGCTATGGGAGCTAAAACAGGCAGAACCAACTTTGTGGAATCCTGGGACAGTGAGGATAAAACTCAGGGGATAGGCCCACCCACCTGTGGACCAGCCCATCCTCAGGGAGAATTATACCAAGAGAACCCCAGAGACCTACAAGGAAGTCCAAGGTCATCGGACAGGTGCCAGGGTGGGCCCAGAGTCCCAGCCCCCTAGAAAGCTGACACTGCGGTGTCAGCTCTCCCAGCCCTCCCTCTCCCAGGTTCCAGAAGGAAGAAGTTGCTAACTAAGCTCAGAAGCCAGCACAAATGGTGGATCAAATTTCAGAAGGGGGTTATTAATATGTCTGCCGTCACCTTAATAGTCCATATGACAAGGGGCTGTGGAATGAGTCTTGTGGATGATTGGGATAGGGGACAAGGGGAAGGTGGCTAGGACAAAAAGTAGGGAGAGTGAAGGACAGGGAAAAGCCTTGGATCACCATCAGGTATGGAAGAAACCAGGAGAGGAAGGGCATCCCATTATCTGTGCTCCCCTCAGCCCTGTACATTTACCCTTGCCCCAGGAGCTCTTGGCTTTTACCTATTCTTAGCTCTGACAATCTTCTTCTTGTCCCTAGGCAACTCACTTTCCCCAATCCTCACCATTCTATTCTGTGTGGCCATCCAACAAGTGGCTATGCTTATCTCTCCCTAATCCCAGGAAGGCTTCCCTGACCAGGGCCTTTGCAAACAACACCTGCAGAGTCCAAAAATCAGACCACCAACCATACCATAGCAAGCCAGTCTCCCTGAACAAGCTTTTCTCTCCAGTTTGTATGTAGTCACTCTGTGTCTAACAGCATTGAGTTAACTGCCTTATGTACATTATTTCCTGTGACTAAAAGGGCAACAATGTTCACAAGACCCACTTTACAGTTGAGGAAACAGAGGCACAGACACCTGAAATTTACTCACAATCACAAAGCTGGACATGGTGGCTGGGTTTAGAATGTCAGTTTACCCATGCTCCTAACACTGAGCCATCTTTTTCCTTGGGAGAAGAAACTCCATGAACCATAGAAAGGATCTCAGAAAGGGACTCCAGGATGGGTAAGTTGGCCTTTCCCACTACCAGGGAGAGCCCTTTCCTTAGCAGGTTCTTTCATTCTTTATTCACTGCACTGAAACTGACTTCAAAGACAATATCATAGGAATCAAAGAAACCCTGAGTTCCAGGTCCTCAGACTGCTTCACTAAGACTAAGCTTCCTTTTGGGGAGGGAAGAGGAAACAAAGGGCTGACCATTCCCCCAACATACTTTTTTTTTTTTTTAAAGCAGAGCTGAGACTTGACCAACTACTAGTCAGACAAAAAACAGCATTTTCCCTATGCTCACTGAACAGTCCAATTTCAAGTCCAGCTTTCTTTCTGACTCCAGTCTGTTGGAATCAGCTGAGAGGCAGGGACCACAAGGGTGCTTCTGTCTTGCAAAGAGCTGCCTTCTAGGCTGCTTCCACCACAAGTGGTCTTTGACCCAGGGCAACCAGAAAGGCAAAGGGGACAATGGTCTGACACAGCCCCCCAGACACAATGGCCTGAAAAAGGGCCCCAAGAAAGCTCATTCATCTCTCTTCTAGAAAACTGCCACCACCCTCAATTCATCCTGTAACAAGGAGCGCCAGGTTACCACGGAAATAAGCAAGCACAGTGAGGGTGAAGGGTACAAACAAAATGCCTGGTAGGAGGGAAGTAGAAGGTCCTCAAGTCAGCCACCTGCTGCTCCGACCTACAAGAGCCCCCAGTAGCTGGCCTGGAGGTAACATGTGCCCTCCATGCCTGCCAAAGGCAGCCCAGGTCATCCTTGATGGCACTTCTTGCCTTGGACAGCAGTGCCCACTGGCTTCTGCCTAGGTCAGCTTAAACATCAGCCAGGCTGATGGCCCATGCCTATCTCCACCACCCTTGGCCCCCTCTGAGAAAGCTACACGGACGATACTCTGGGTCTTTCCCGCTGAAGGGTGTGTGTGTGTGTGTGTGTGTCCTTCACAAAGCAGCAGCCTGCCACACCCCCCTCTTTCAAGCCAGCCCTCCATGCTAAGTGTGGAAACCTGGTCCCAAGGGTCGCTAGAGGCTAGAAGCAAACCTCTAGGGAACAAGCCAGTTCCTTTTGCCCTCCTGGCATAGTCCTGAGAGGAGGCAGCATGTGCAGTGAGCACACAATACCCGGGCCGTTCAACCTCCTTTCTCCCAAACAAAGAAACTCCCAAGTTCTCTCTCTAGCCTTGGCTGGCATGCTCTCTGCCTGACCCCTGCTGCCCTCCTCCTTGCCATTAGGGCTACTCTGCTTGTAGGCACAGCCTGTCACTTTCTCTCTTTCACCTCTCCAGGAAGTTGCTCAAAATCCTGTCATGCACACGTTAAGCCACCAGTTTCCCCACAGATGTGTGTGTGTGTGTGTGTGTGTGTGTGTGTGCATGTGTGTGTGTGTATGTGTGATAAAGACAGAGAGATGGGGGGGGGAACACCTCTAGCCCTGCTGTTCCCTTTCTAAGTCCCCTATCCTAAGTGCCCCCCACACTTCAATTACAGATGACCCCCCGGCTCCAAGAGGAATGCATGCAGGTCCAGCCACTTGCCCAGCCTCCCTTCCCTTGCTGCACCTCCCCACCCAAATCCTGCTGGCCATATTAAAGACGGCTCCAGCCAACCCCCAGGTGGCTTTAAGACACACCGCCTCCCATGGAGGGGTGCTTGGGTTACCATAGGTGCAGTTACAGCAGAAGCGAATGATGAAGAGGATTTCCATGGCAGCCTCTGTGCCTGTAGCTGGGGCGTGCAGCCATCGCTCCAAGCTCCTGGCTCCTGGCTCCCCTCAGTAGCCTGGCCACTCAGCCACCTTGCCGCTGCTGCACAGCCGCTGCTGCACAGAATCAAGCAGCCGCTTCCTTCCTTGCAAGTGCTCCTCCAGCAAGGGGGAGGGCAGGAGGCGCGTGGAAAAGTGGGAGGAGGGAGGGAAGGAGGAGGGATGGAGCGCCTGCTGGCATCCTAAGGAGGAGCACGTTTGTAGCTGGCCCGCTGCCTAGAGAGGAGAGGCTGGATTCCTCACGTGCATGAGCACACTGATGCGCGCTTGCGCGTGCACACACACGCAAACAGGGAGGGCAATGCATTCACACAATCTGTAGCTCACAAAATCAGACAAAGGAAGGTGATTGTAAACCAGCCCGCTCCCCCCAAGTACCTTCCATGGTGACTGATGTGTGGCTGTCCTTGGAGTCCTTGGGCCCTTTCACTTTGAGTTCCTGCCAGAGGGAGGAGAGGAATCACTACCTGGAGTGTGCCCCTCCCCCCCACCCCTCCCTCAATGGTGAGCGCGGCAGAAGAGGGGGTCTGAAAGCCAGGAGTGCAAATACAAGGAGACAAAGGAGACCTGTGGGCACAGGCCACCTCTGCTTTATCGTCTGGATCCCTGGAGACTCCAGAGTCCAGTTGTGAGAGTGGGGGCCACAGGAGGACGCTGGGTACCAGAGTTACGACTGGTGGTAGGAAGCACAGTGATAAAAGGAACTTCTTACACCCGCCTGCTGATGCCCCTCACAAATAACCAAGGGCTTCCCTAAACACGGCCAATAGCAGGACCCCACTACATGTGCCCTCAGCAGCCACTTCTCAGGAATGTATACACCTAAGCCAGGGAAGTCAGGGTTTGCACCTACAGGCACCAGGTGTGGGAGCAGTAGCAGCCCTGAGCCAGTGGAGGGCTGCACACCTGCACAGGGAAGCAAGGAGGAGGCAGACCTGGGGCAGGGATGCTGAGCTCCACAGGTCAGTCCAAACCACATGTCCTTATTCAGGAGGGACTCAGCCTGCTTCCAGCCCACCTGACACTCTTCACCACCCCTCCTGAAGCTATGCTAAGTACCCTGAAGTGAGTGCTGGAAACAGTCTCCAGGGACAATGTAACCTATTTTCTTTAGAAGAAGATGTCCAGCTTTTGGTAACAGGAAAGTGCAGCCAACAATTAGAGCTGAAATGCAATCCCTCCTTGGCAGGCTGAGTATACAGAGCCTGAAAGAAAAGTGTCCAGGAAAGGCAGGGGGCAAGGTGAGGCCAAGGTCAGACACCCAGGTGATATCTGCTCTGCCTAGGGGATGGAAATGCCCAGACAGCAGGAAAGACCTCATTTCCTACTCTGTCTCCAGCTGTTTCTAGACAGAGTAAACCTCCAGAGACAGAGCTTGTGTGTGAGTGTGTGTGTGTGTGTGTGTGTGTGTGTGTGTGTGTGTATGGTGATGTAGGTGTGTGTATGGGGGTGTGTGTGGAACTCAGCTTCTCTAGGTTATGTCTCTCACTCAATTCCTACCTTTAGGGAATTTTGCTCCACGCCCCCTCCAGTGCAGCCTAGAGGTATGAAATCACTCCTGCTGTAGAGGAAAAGGGCCTAATTGCAGTAATTAAATGGCAGCGCCAGCAGGAAGCAACGGCAGCACGAATGGCATCATCGTCATAGAGTGAGTCAGGATGAACAGCCACCTGGCAGAGGGCCACAGCCTGGCTCTGCACTCTGGGGTGGGCAGACTCTAAGGGGCTCCTGCCACTGCATACAGAATGGCCAATCAACGAAGACTATGTAGGGATCTTATACTCTGGACACTCCCTAGGCTATGAACAGATAAGGGAATTCCAGTTTGTTCCTAGGGCAAGCTGGGAGCCATGAGGGGAAGCACCATTTCTCCAGTCTCATGAATCCATAGAGAGGGACTTCCCTAGCCCTTTCCCCATCCTCTCAGGCAGGGGATGATTCATCTGATCCATGGGTTGAGGGGAGGAAACCGAGCTCAGGCCTGTTCTCTCTGTATCCTCAGTTACAAAGGCAGGCTCTGCCACCATGGTTAGGAGGGACCTGTGGCTTCCTGTTTCAGCCAGGGAGTCAATAGATATATTTACTTCCAATGATGAAGTGTTAGCAAGTCCCATGTGGCTACAGACCCAAACTTACATGTTCCAATTTAGCTTTTTCTAATAATCAAGCTGACATGTTCACTTCTATCTGTCCTACTCCTATATGTTCTCTTGGTTGTTTCCAAATTCAGACAGAACCCTAGCAGGTTCAGGAAAGCTATTCTGAGATTCACTAACTATTCTAGCATCAGAGCTAAGGAAAGAAAAGAGCCAGGGGGAACCTTTAAGGCAGGACTTCTAAAACTGTAGAAATGCTCCCTCACCACAACAAACAAACACACAAAAGCAACAACAACAAAAAATCCCCAGAGGTTCTTTTGCCTTGGGTTTGGGCTCAGAGCTAGGTATTTCCTGTAAAGTTGATGGCTTAGGGGTATTTCTGGGGCCTTTTTGGATAAAGGACGAGTTGGGCGGTGCTCCTGAAGCATCCTATAGCAGCAGCCCCTCCTTGCTACTCTAGATAGAAGTGCCAATGGCAAGGCGTGCAGAGGAGCACGTGGGGAGGACTTAGCTATAATAGCAGGGACAGTCTAGGGCTGCTTCTCTCCTGAAGTAGTCCTGTTGTCTGTTTGTAAGCCTGCAATTTTAGGGTTGGCATGGATCTATTTTTTTTTTGTCGGTTGTGGGGCTTGAACTCTGGACCTGGGCATTGTCCCTGAGCTCTTCAGCACAAGACAAGCGCTCTACCACTTGAGCCACAGTACCACTTCCACTTTTCTGGTAGTTAATTGGAGATAAGAGTCTCAGTGACTTTTCTGCCTGGGCTGGCTTTGAACTGTGATCCTTAGATTGTGAGTAGCTAGGATTACAGGCATGAGCCACTGGCGCCTGGCTTGCCACAATTTTAAAAGATCACCAAGTCCAGACTTTCCTGAATCCTCCTTCCTGATCTATAAAAATCACTTAGTACCTTGTTAGAGTAAAGATTTCTACCTTCCTGCCAGCCCCTCCCAGCCTTCAGACCTAGCCCTCTGAATGAGAAGCTGCAGGGAAGGAAGTTAGACACCCACATTTTAAACAGGGTCACACTGATTCTCATCGAGCAAGTTTGAGATGGAACTTGTCTATCTGCAGGGACAAATCCCAGCAGACCACTCTACAGGGGAGGAAACAAAGGCCAAGAGAAAAGAAATAACTTGCTCAAGGTCACCACAGCATAGGAGAACACTGCCTGTTCCTCTTTCTAACCTGAAATGGAATTAAAAAAAATCAAACTGATCAATATTTTTATATTAAGAGGAAAAATGTCAAGTGCAAGAAAGCAAATGTCAGGCCAAAAGTTACCCACAAGGGGAACAGCTTCCCTGATAGGCAAGCAAAGGAGAAGACTTATTCACAGGCTGGAAGGTTCCAGGCTACTCCCAGGGCCCCAGGGACTGAGAGGAGCGGCCTACCTCTGAGATCTTCTGGAACTGGTTGTTGGATTGGCTGCATTTCTCAGCTGTCTCCAGAGCAACTTTATAGTTATCCACAAATGCTTTGTACACACCAAGCTGGCTGGCCTGCAGGGGGGAGACAGAAAATGGAGAAAGGAGGGTAGGAATGGGATGGGGAGAGGATTAATGAATGGATGAAAGCTTATCTAGAGCTCCTGGAGCTCCCTTAGTGCTCAGAACTTCTAACTTAGCCCCAAAGGGCTTACTGGAAATGAGGGGAAAGGCAGGGATGAACATATTACAGTATCCCTTTGAACTTGACAGTTTCCATGGAAACTGGCTTAGCCAATAAGGTTAAGAGGGGGTAGTGAGGGGGTGGAGAGGAAGGTAGGGCCTTTATTGGAACACTAGAAATTGAACTCATCACAATAAAGTCTCCTAGGGTTTGAGGCCTTATACCTGTTTCACATCTTGGTATTGGCTGGAGCAGAAGAAGACAGGAGTGGTGGGCACATGTTGCCTACTTGGTTACCTATTCCTGGTGCTAGGGCCGAGCATTTAAAGGGAATCAAGTTTCTGTCCCCATCTCCTCAGTCTCCAATGAGTCAGAACCCATCTCACTATACACTTGCATGCCACCCAGAACTGGACACAGAGCTTTTCCTGACTTGCCATCATAAAAAGCCTTGCCTCCTCTGGGTGGCAGGGCAGATCCCAGTATTCCTTTCTGCAAATGGTAAAACTGAGGCCATTTGTTCAATCTCTCGAATATTTATGGCAACGCTTCTCTAAGCTGTGTACACATATTTCCTCCTAAGAGAACAAAGGGAAGCAATTCAAATTAAAGCCACAATGAAAAATTATTCCATTCCTGTAGGAAGGGTTGAAATTTAAAAGTTTATTGATATCAAGATTGACAAAAATGGGGGAATGTGAAGAAATACAAACTCCTATGGAAGGCTTATAGATTTAAGTTAGTATAACTATTTGGAGAATAACTTCTCAGTAACTAGTAAAGCTGACAGTAGGCATAGTCTTAGCCTACTGCTTAACAAATATCTTCCTTCCTTCGTTCCTTCTTCCATCCCTTCTTCCATCCTTTTCTCATAGTATTGGATTTTTTTCTTGGTCCTGAGGCTTGAACTCAGGGCCTTTGTAGCATCTCTGAGTTTTTTCACTCAAGGCTGGTTCTCTACCATTACAGCTAAAGCTCCACTTCTGGCTTTTGGGTGACTAATTGAAGATAAAAGTCTCACAGACTTTCCTGCCTGGGTTTGCTTTAAACTGTAACCCTCAGATGTCAGCATTCCGAGTATTTAGGGATTACAGGCATGAGCCACCAGTGCCTGGCTCTATAGTACTGGATTATGAAGTTAGGGTTGTGTTTGCTAGGCAGACATGACACTCTACCATAAGAGCCATACCTTCAGCCTACATGTGGCTATTGGACATCTACCATTAAATAGTGTAACCTGAAGTGTGTTGTATATCTAAAATCATGTTGTAAAGTATGCAACATGGGATATAAATTATATAACTATGGATTATATATTGAAATGATAACATTCAGATCTGCTGAAATAAATAAAATATATTTTAAAAATCAATTTCTTCTGTTTATCTCTTATTTGTTTTTGTTCTTGGTCTTTCGTGACAGTCCTGGGGCCTGAACTCAGGGCTTGGGCACTCTCCCTGAGTTTTTGTGCTCAAAGCTAGAGCTCTACCACTTGAGCCCCAGCTCCCACTTCAGCTTTTTGTTTGGTGGTTAATTGGAGATAAGAGTCTCATGGGCTTTCCTATGGGATAGCTTTGAACGGTGATCCCAAGATGTCAGCTTCTTGGGTAGCTAGTTTTACAGGTATGAGCCACTGGTACACAGTTGTTCATTTTGGTTTGCTTTGGGTGTCTCATTATGATGGCCTTGAGTTAACAGACTCAAGTAATCATCCTGCTTCAGCCTTCCAAGGAGCTGGGCCTATAAGTATCTGCCACCATGCCCAGTTTATTCTATTTTACATGATTTTATTTTATTTTTGTGGTGGAGATCAAAACCGGTGACAGGCATGCTAATAAGCAAGTACTCTTATCTCTAAGCTAAATCCACAGTCCTATTTTCACTTAAAAAAATGTTGCTACTGCTAGGTGCTAGTGGCTCAAAGAGATCTAAGAACTGGTGTCCAGAACTAGTCCAGGAGGACAAATTCGAAAGACTGTTATCTCCAAACTGAAAGCAGAGGCATGACTCAAGTGGTAGAGCATGAGCTGTGAGTGAAAAGTTGAGAGAAAAAGTGCAAGGCCCTTGGGGCTGGGAATGTGGCTGAGAGGTAGAGTGCTTGCCTAGCATGCATGAAACCCTGGGTTCGATTCCTTAGTACCACATAAACAGAAAAAGCCAGAAGTGGCACTGTGGCTCAAGTGGTAGAATGCTAGCCTTGAGCAAAAAGAAGCTCAGAGACAGTGCCCAGGCCAAGGGGAAAAAAAAGTACAAAGTCCTGAGTTCAAGCCCAAGTATCAGAAAAAAAAGAAGAAGAAAGTGGCTACAAAACTCTCTCTCTCTCTCTCTCTCTCTCTATATATATATATATAAATATATATAAATGGAGCTAGGAAACTTGAAGAGGTAGGTAAAAATGGGATAGATGAAATCCAGAGGGAGAATGATAGAAGGGATAATACTGATCAAGATGAACTGTACAGGGCTGGGAATGTGGCTTAGTGGCAGAGTGTTTGCCTACCATGCATGAAACCCTGGGTTCAATTCCTCAGTACCATATAAACAGAAAAAGCCAGAAGTGATACTGTGGCCCAAGTGGTAGAGCACTAGCCTTCAACACAGAGAGGCTTAGGGTCAGTGCTCAGGCCATGAGTATAATCCACAGGACTGAAAAAAAAAAAGATGCACTGTACATATAAATGGTCACTATTTAAAAACACTTTGTACAACTAGTTGAAGATAATAATTTAGGGCTGGGAAGGTGGCTCAGTGGTAGAGCACTTGCCTTGCATGCATGAGGCCCTGGGTTCGAATCCTCAGCAGCACATAAGCAGGAAAAAAAAAGCCGGAAATAGCCGGGCGCTGGTGGCTCACGCCTGTAATCCTAGCTACTTAGGAGGCTGAGATCTGAGGATTGTGGTTCAAAGCCAGCCGGGGGAGGAGAGCCCAGGAGATTCCTATCTCCAATAAACCACCAGAAAACCGGAAGTGGCGCTGTGGCTCAAGTGGTAGAGCGCTCGCCTTGAGCTGAAGAGCTGAGGGACAGCGCCCAGGCCCAGAGTTCAGGCCTCATGACCGGACCCAAAAAAAAAGCAAAAAGAAAAGATAATAATTTAAAAATGTGTTGTTGAATGGCAGCAATACATTTGTACAACTATTTAAAGATAATAAAAAATATATTTAAATGTGGCTCATAAGGTTAAGGGATAGCTCAATGGT